TGCCTCCTTCCCCTCCAAGTTCCAAATTCCAAGTACACAGCTACTCAACTCCTAACTTACTCCTCACTCAATGTCTTTACTCAGTTCAAAAACCAAAGCAGTATAAAAAGTGGGCAATTAGAGCAGCTGTGGGAAGCTGGATGACTCAACAGGCTGCTTCCCACTCAGCCAGCGCTGCAGTGGGCAGATAAAAGGGACCCATCAAAAGCTCACGTGCAGCTCATTCACCCTTAGAGAAGGGAGGAGCAATGACCTCTTGCTGTTCCTGAACGGGAAGGAGAGTGCTAGAAGGAGAATGCAGATGCCACCCTGCCTGGGACCTCAGTTCTGGAAACAGCTGACCTGCTCTGAGCCACAGGAAATCCCCAGAATTCAGTTAGGTCGCAGACAACTAATCCCAGCTTGCTTTCCCTTCCAAGTCAGTAATGTCTCTCTGGTACCAAAAAACAAACAAAAAAGCCAGCAAGGACAAGGCAAGGAGGGTGGGTGCAAAAGGGGACCACTGAAGCGCAGGGCCAATTCACAGACCAGACACAAGCCTACGCGTCTAACAAATTCCTGGAGCAGCTTCCACAAATTAGAGGGTCATGCTGACACAGTAGCAGCATCTTCTCTTCCTTACTTTGCCCAACATCTGTTTGTCACCCTACTGTTAGTGCATTGAAAGCAGACATCTTACTCACTGTCCTACAGCCCCTGCACCCATTCCCACCACTGTAATGTACATACAAAGTGCACACATGTCCTGACTGTACAAGTTATTTAGCACTGACACTGCTTGCTTATAAAAGACACGCTTTTTTGGTAAGTCATCATTTTTAGTGGTTACATCATTGGTAAGTCTCAAAACTCCTCTGGCTGGGAGTGTTGAGACTATTGCTCAACACTAAGACTCACAGCTGTCCCTACTTCATTCCTGTTCCATTAAATCAGAGAAATAGAGAGGCGGAAACTGGGGCTTCAGCAAGCTATTTTAAAGACAGTTGAAACTTTGTACTTGCAGCATAGAGTTGAAGCTGATGAAGGTGGGTAAGGATAGTTCTTGTACCCCATTCGGCCAGCCTTTCCCATTTATCTCAGGGATATATTCCTACATCACTGTATTTGGTACACTTTGTGATATCTTCATAATTCCTCCATGTTAGGGATGACTATTCAAAGGCTTCTACTTTCATTATATGCAGTTATTTTTTACTACCTAGAGTACATTTGGGGACTTGGTAGGAATATTAAAGTGTTGGATGGTGAAGATATGGGAACATTTATATTTTTACGTTAGCTTCAGAAATAACTGTATAAATCTTTTTGCTCTAAATCATGTTTTCCTAACAAAGTATGGATGTTTAAATCAGATTCCCAATAATAGGAGCTAAATAAGTCAGATTTCAAAGTAGCTAGCCATATTCGTGTATCTACCCCTACACAGCATTCATTATCCACTTCTTAATCTTTGATCTAATTCCTCAAAGCCCTCAAAGTACTAAAATTTAATATTCATTACCTATAATAAGCCTTCACCTACTGATCAATTCACACCTTTCCAGTCTAATTTTCAAGAGCCACAATAGCCATTCATTTAGTGAACATTTATATAGACAAGCAGGCCCACATTGAAATACTAAGTCCGTCACACCTGAGGAAATCACCTAACATCTGCCTGGAAGGCCACATAGCACAGTAACTTAAAAACCATCCCTCTGCAGTTACCACATGACTTCAAGACAGTAATTTTAATAACAAGCTTATTGGAAATCAAAAGAAATATGCAGAAATGTTTACTGTACTTCTTATAACAAGTAAAAGACCAATGAGAAGTAACCCGAATAAACTATAAAGATTTCATAAATTCATGTACATGAATCTGACTGGAGTATTTTAAAGTCATGAAATCATTAAAAATTATAATATCTATGAAAACCTGTAAGTATTTGCTATAGTCCTCTTTACAAAGAAAAAAATATATATATATATCACTCTATTAGAAAATTGTACACATCTGTGAAAAAATTGAAGTTCATAAGAAAAATTTTGTCATTTATTCAACAACTTAACCAAGGGTCTACCATGACAAGGACTAAAGTTAAAATGGTAAAAAGATCTGGCTCTGACATCTTGGAATTTCAGCTTCATTACTAAGTGAAAAAAATTGCTGGCATGTGAGTATGTGGGTGTTCTTTCTCCTAAATAATTTTGCTAATATATTAGTATTTTGGTTAGGTGTGTGTCACAAAGCCTATGTGGGGGGCATGGCACTCATGACACAAATACCAAGAAGTGGCTCACAAAATGACAATACTGTTCCAAGTATCAGTGGCGCACGATCCCCGAGTGCGCCCTTTACTGTTCATTCTGTAAAACTATAAAGAGGAAGAAGTTGTGCTGCCCGAGGCCTGTGTGGTAATTGTCTCTCTCTCCCTTCTTCCTAGAGGCTGTCTAACTGCACCCCAGCCAAGTGGCAGGCATGGCTCAGCCGCCTTTCATCACAGAACTGAGAGCACACAGAGCCATCCGTGCCCCTGAGAGCCCAGCACCGCCACACCTCCCGCAGAGTGACACCCCTAAAGGAGAGCGAACAAGTGGCCCAGCTCGCACACACTGTGGAGAGACTGCCGACCTGCCTGTAATGCTGTACGCCAACCCTGCGCTCGGAAAGAGCCTGAGAACTGCACAGTATCCTTCAGAACAAGCTTTCGTGAACGTGAGCAAGCTAGGGCCACACATGATTTAGTAACTCATTCAGCTCATCTTCTCCTGAAAGCCTTTCTTTTGTGCAGATAATACTACCCTTTCCTCTCACACATAACATTGGACTTGCTACTTTGGTTTTCAAAAATAATATATTGTTTAGAAATACATACATATCTGACAAACTATAGAAGAAAAAGAAAGGGCAGAGAGAAGAGGGGAATGTGCTTGTGGAGAAGCATGTCAGAGGGTCATACAACCCTGCTACTCAAAGTGGGGTCCATGGACCAGAAGCATCACCACCACTGCCAAGTCTCTTAAAAATGTAGAATCAGACATTTCACCTGAGACTTTCTGAATCAGAATCTGTATTTAGTAAGATCTCCCGCTGTTTCATCTACACATTAAAGTTTGGGAGTCACTGTTGTAAATACTCGTAATCTATTTTTACACCTGGAAGGTGAGTACAGTTAGTATTATTCTCTAAAATGTACACACATTTTACACAGTTTTCTGATATGTGACATGTCTCTAATCTACAATGGACCCCGTGTCTATAAACTGGAAAGTAGGGGTTGTTAAAAAGTGCGGGAAAGAGTGCTATGAGAATCTAATCTTCAAATACTAATAACTCAGTAATAGATAAAACTTCAGAGATCACATAACCCAACCTCTTCACTTTGAGAAATTAAACTATCTGACACAAGGAGGGGGCACACATGCCTTCCCTAGGGTCCGACTGCCGAATTACTGTGCCAAACTCAGATTAGGGCTCAAGACCCCTGATCCCCAGTAATGTTGTATGCCCTACAATAATGCTGATTTAATATGCTATGACTTTTTTGTCTCTATAACAAAAATTCACATTAAAAGAGAAATCAGTATTAAGTTTAAAAAAGATAATTCTTAAAACAAGCACCTTGTATATTTAATAGTAGATGCCCAATATGTATTCGTTTGAATGAATGATTCACTTTGAGGCACAAACACTGTTAACCACATCTTCAAAAAAGAGCTGAGCTGAATTACAGAATTAAGTAACTCTCTTATGGGAAAAAACCTCAATTCTAAAACAAGTTATAATACTCTCTTCCACAGTGATCAAAAATCACTCTTAGATGGATGGTAATTATAGATTTGCTTTGTTTATGTCACCGTATTCCTATTATGTTAATATGTGTGTGCAAATTAGTTAGTAGTTTAAAACCTATACATACTTAAGGTACTATACAAGAAGATATGTCAAAGAAATAATCAATCCTCCCAAGTTTCCTTCATATGCTACATCTATAGCTTTTCTTCTTCCTTCCTAATTACAACCCTTAAATAGAATTCGTGCCTCATATCGAATTTACCGAGTATCATAATTCCTCCAGGTGGTAAAGATACCTCGAGACAAGTGCTGGGCATAGAAGCCACAGGGCATAAATCTGCAAAGAAGTAAAAAGCTAACCTTTGCAAACAATATGGCTTCTCTCTCACTTACCAACTTTACATTTCCCTGTATGGCCCCGGAAGATGACTGGTTAGCCAGAGACGGGTAAGACAACCTAAGACAGGCACAGTTGCAGGGGGGCCATCAGGTGAGAATTTGGGGATCAACAGAGGTGAGGCTCAGAACCTCACCCCCCCTGCTTTGAGAGAAATCTTCTGCATCCGTGGATGTCTTGCTGCCCTTGTTTAGCCTGGATTAATACTTGGTCCATAGGCACACACCTGATCATCTGATCATCTACATTTGCCCTCTTACAGCACTAAACTATGTTTTCTACCTTTATCTTGCATCTACCTACTTCAGCATTTTATTAAAAATAAAAATAATAATAATAGGAGAAATGTGGGATCAACATATAAATCAAGTACAAAAATCAAACGAATATTCATATTTGACCTGATTGTTTATAGGTCATAATGCATGACCAAAACCGAAAGTTTCTGTGATGAATGCCCTTGTACTGTTCACCATGTAAGAATTTATTCACTGTGCAAGAATTCGTTCACCATGTAAGAACTTGTTCGTTATGCTTCAGAAGATTGGAGACTGACGAGAATTAGGCTTGAGATGGATTAATGATTGTACATTGAGCATTGACCCCCCTATACTGAATTTTATTGTTGTTAACAACCATTTGATCAATAAATATGAGAGATGCCCTCTCAAAAAAAAAAAAATCACTCTTGTATTGTTATAAAAGTCGGAATATTTTACATGTTTAGTATTTGGGCAGATGCAGCTGTTTGATTTCAGTGAAATCAGTATCTGAAATAGAACCTCTAAAATTATTACTTCGAATATTGAAGAACAGAGTACTCACCAATACTAATTTCATCATCTGTTTCAGCATCACCAATACATTCAAATTGGAAATCTTGCAGTGACTGGGAAAATTTCTGCACTGCCATAGACAGATCTGTAATTAAAAGTTAAAAGACTCATTAAATTGAAGGTACCATGATATTCAAGAGTTTCCACATGTAATACTATATAACTTTGATGTTAATACTGTATTAACAAGAGCCTTTTGAAATACCAGCTTGGTAAATTTAAGGAGAATTCAAGGAGATTACTAAAGAACTATTTTAGGAGCTGAATTTGCTTTGTTCAAAGGGGATTTGCTCCTTTAACAAAGTTTGGGTGCCAGTTATGTATTAACTGGAAGCTAATTCCCCAAAACCTTTATTAAAGAATTCCCATTCACTTCCTTATAAATGCAGCATTTATTTTAAAAAGGAATGCCACTGAGATTGCTAGTGGGGGGAAAAAAGCAGCCAGTCTTTGATCAGGAAGAGTCACTGATGTCATTCTGTGCAGACCATGAAGCAGGTTGGAAAAGCATTTTTAACCTATAAACTATTGGTTTTGACCTACTTCTAAGGTGAAAGGCCACCTGAAAGGCTGTTTATGAATAACCTTGTGATTTATAGCAGACCTCAGCTAAATATATTCTTCAATCCTGGCTTTCATCTGAACAAAGTCCAGGGTGTAAGTAAATCCAAAAAAAAGAAGAATTCTTTAATTCCTGTAGAGAATTTTAAAAGCCCAGAATAATGAGAAGTAAATCCCTATGAGGCAAAAAGCCTGGGGTGCAGACTAACTGATTAAGAATGCAGGCTCTGGAGCCAGGCTGCCTGGGTTGAAATCCTATTTAACTCCTCCTAATTATTTAACTCCTCTGGGCCTCTATCTCCTCATCTGTAAAGAGCGAATAACAATGTCATAACCACCTCAGGGTTGTTTTGAGGATTAATATTTTTAAAGGGTTTAGAAAAGAACTTGGCACTTAATAAGTACTAATTTTATAAAATAAAATTAAAAATAAATCAATCTGACAGTATGGCATTAGGCACGTTCTAAAGGTCCACCTTCAGAGCTACTCTGGTCATCTATGGCTCCTTCCACAGAAGTCTGTGCCAGTAGGAAATCATCTTGTCTGGTGTTCACTCCACACTTCATTTAATGTTATCGCCCGTGAGTTCAAGTTCAATACCGGAACCCTTATATTTAATTCAAACATGGGACTTAACAGACACTCTCTCCTTCAACAATCTTTAGGCAGGCTCCTTAGAGCCCTCTGCCTTGGCTGTGTTCACCCAGTTTTAGCAAGAATTCTGCCAAGTCACTTTAAAGAGAATCTCCCGCTCTGGGTATCTTACCAAATTCCTCATCCCCCACTTTTGGTGCCCCAGTCCTTGACCTGCCCTCACCAACAATCCTTCTATCCTTGAGGTCTCCTCTTAGTCACTCTCTATCCACCAACACGCCCCTACCCCAACCTGCAACTCTGCTGTAAGTCCCCTCTTATTCTTGCTGCATTCAGAGTTGAGCTTCATCCTCTTCCCTAAGATATTCATCACACCTATAGCAACAGAACTGAATAAAGTCCTACTTACCATTTTAACAAGTGTCAGAATAATTTTTTTTCTTTTATGAGAACAGTCGTGGCTTCGTGCCTAGGCATGACCCCAGGATTTACCGCAGTAACCCACCATTCATGAAACCCCAAGCCCGAGTACTTATTAAAGTAAGTATTCACTAGGTCTCCAGACATGAAGGTCACTTTTTGTATCACCGGGATTCAAGAAGTCACCACCACCCTCACCTAGGACAATTCTGAAGACCACAGGCTTCCAGCCTGAGAGAGGCTTTTCTAAAACAAAACAAGATAAAATCAACACACGAGAGACAGATTTTTTTTTAATCTTCTTTGAAAAAAACCAACCAGACGATGTTACTTGTAAATGAACTCCTCTTCCCACAAAAGGGATAAAACTTCAGAACTAAATGCATATTCTACGTCAGAGATACTTTCAACTTAAGAGTTAGAAATTTCTGTTAGCTTAAGAATGGTTTGTTTGGAGCTTTCCGGAAGAAAGCTGAAGGAGCCTCCTTAGTAAATTATTAGTCAATGGAAAAAGCAAAAGCTACATCAGAACTAGACTTCACCAACTAGTTGTGAGGCCTGGGGCAATCATTCACCCTTCCTGAGACTCATTTTTCTTATCTATACAGAGACGTAGTATTTATCTCACATGGTGGTTATAAAGACTAAAGGAGGTATGTGCCTGTTACAGAACAGGCAACTAAGCAAATGGCATCAGTTATTATTGTTCAAGTACAGCTCACAGAAGTGGGGAATTTGGCCTTCCAGAAAGACGGTGACCATGTAAAAGGATAGTTATCTGACACAGCCCAACTCTGGCTTAGAGAAATCGTAACACCTGTATCAAATATTATACGAAGACAAGGCAGGCTCCTAGGATAATTTTAAACCAAGATATACGTGGTACTCTCCCTGAGACTTGGGAAATCATTCCATTTAATGTCATTTTGTTTTCCTGTGTATAATATAAACAAAGGCATTATGCTAAACTGGATTTGAAGTTGTAGATCCAATTTCTAGAGTGGAATTGAGATGGGGGATAAAATATCAGGGGTCAGGATGTTGAGAAACCTTGTAATCGATGCCCTTCCTTCTCTCCCCTCCTTCCCGCAAGTTCCTCTGAGCCTCCCCTCAAACTCAAGGACCTATCTGGAAGCTCTGTCCTAGGGAACTCCTGACACAACTCCCCCAAACTGACCATTCCTTCCTAGTCTGTTCTTTGCTTCCATGGCCTTGCTCCTTGACTGCAAAAAGATAAGCTGTTTTGCTCTTCTACAGAGGTCACAGTGAATGCACCATGATAATTCCCATCCCCAAACAAGAACACAGTAGCCCACTTTAATTAGTTACCTTTGTTAATATAGCCAAATGACTGAATATGAGTTCTAGAGGCAAATTGCCCGATTAACTTCCTGCTTCTACCAGTCAGTGGCATGCGCATGTTCCATAACCTCTCTGCACCTCAGTGTCCTCATCTGTTAAATGGGACAGAACCATCCTTCAGGTTGTTGTGAGGAGTAAAGAAGTTAATACAGACGAAGCTGAGAACAGTGTCTGACTCATAGCACTTAAAATGTATTGCCTATTTCCATGTATTACATTTAAGAAGGAAAAGGTAAAATTTCAGGAATGAAGGTGGCAGCTATTAGACCCCAGATGACTGTGGACAGTGCTCAAGAAAACAGTCTGAGCAGTTTCAAATGATCTCTTGGAGCCCTGCAATCACACCATGACAGACAGCCTGATTACTCAGTTTTCTGTGTGAGAAGTGGGTGTCTACTTTGACCCTGGGTGGAATCAAAGTCACATGAATGCTCCATCCACAGCCCTTCTGGAAACATGATGAGGCCATGTTATACAAGAAAATATGTGGTTCTCAGCTAGTTTAAGTGATAATCCCCAAAATGAAGAACTTTGAAATATGAGTTATTTTCAACTTCAGTTATGTGGGTCCTGATTTTCCTTTTATTCTAATTTCGGAAAACCAAAGTAGTGACGAGGTCAAAAATATTATCAAGGTAAAAAACTTACATTTCCTGGCAGTGATATGATGGATTTGCAGAATAAGGAATCCAGGTCACCCTTTTTAATCTTGGCCCAACTCCTTCTGAACTAGAAATTATAAACATCTTCCAGTGACTTCAAAACCACATGAAATGTACTACCCCCTAACTGTCTGAAGTTTCTAAACAATGGTCAGATGCCCAGCACAGAAGTACTGATTCTAAAACCTCTTAGGTAAAATTGATTCACATCTATTATATAGACCTTAATTTAAAATCTAATTTTTAAAAGTTTACTGTTGTATTTTAAAGTACCAAACTACTACACTGATGGAAAGTGACTGCAATGGGGCATGGGAGAGACTCAATAATATGGGTGAATGTAGAATCTATAATTTCTTTTAAATACAAAAGGAAAGATCAAGTGTATAAAGCATGATAAGCAGGGAATCTCATGTAGGCAAGGGCGTCTCTATCTCCCTATTTCTATCCAACTATTAGAACTTGTGGACAAACAAGAAAAAGATGCCAGTCAGAGCTGCCCTAGCCACATACTAGGATGGAGGTAAAGGAGTAACATTTACTGTCAGGCAAGGTGGTACACAGTAAAGATACTACAAGGACCACGCCTACCACATCCCTTCCATCTGCCTAACCTGCAAGTTAAACATGGGATGTCTTCATAGCTATTCAAATCACAACTTGGAAGAAATTATACTAGGCTTTATTTAGTCTGCAATGTTTTCCTATCAAAGAGTTAACCTGTAGCACTTATGATTAAATGATGCTAATGAACATTAAAACTTCATTTCATTACAGAAATACAAAACACTTAGTTAATAATTATAACTCTTCTTACACCCTAAGAGCTGGAGTCTACCTGTTACTTTAGAAATGTTTATGGAACTACTTTTACAATGGTAGCTATGGAAGTGAACGATATTTATTTTAGGAAAAGTACAACTAGCCAGTCCATTACTATAAGGCAGTCCTTCCTGAAATTAATTACTCTGGGATGAGATTTAAGCAAGACTCACAGAACCAATACATCCAGATGTACATGTAGTAGAATTATCATCTTCACATTACCATGCAGAAGGCAGGGAATATGAAAAAATAGGAATACAAAGATAAAAGCAGGACAGATCCTTCCCTCCACTAGGGCACAGTCCAGTAGAGGCTTGAGGCATGTAAACAAATGTAACAGAGGCCAACTGATAAAGTCCTGACAGGGGTTAATAACACCACCATCACTATAGATAGTACTATGTACCTGCTATTTTCCCAAGCACTTAAGGTAAGTTAAACCATTAATCACTAAAACAGCCTCACGAAATACATATGATCACTCCTATTTTTACAGATGAAGAAACTGAGGCACAGAGATGTTAAGTTAAATGACTTCCAAGTTCACATAAGCTAGTAAATCATACCACCAGAATTTCAACCCAGGGAGCCTGGCTTAGAATCCCCTCGCTTAGCCACACTGCCACAGTGCTCTGCACACAGAGGCAGCAAATGAGGAGG